GCGAAGTAAACTATTTTTTAAAAAGCATCGTTTCGAGTCTCTTTCTCTCTCGCTCTCGCCTCCCCCCCCCGTCTCTCTCTCTCTCTCTCTCTCTCCCTCTGTTTTCGCCTCAAATGAGCAGCAGACGAGGATATGGAAAGTTGACACCGCGCCGGGCGGGCGGGACCGGACGGGTCATGTGTTTCGCAAAAGGAGACCGCGAGACGAGACTGTTGCACGTTCCGGTATTTATTGCTCCTGAACCGTAAAGAAATTAAACGTGCCTCGTGTGCAACGTGCCTGATGTCGGTGTGTGCGTGTGTGCGTGCCATGGTTGCGCCTCGTATACCGTCACCGTCAATCCCTTTCAATCTCAATTCCGTCCGTCTACTCGAATGGAGTCGATGTACGAGACGATAAAGTACATTATTTACGTGCGCGCGCACACACACACACACTGCGGCTTCTAAACACAGTGGGGGGGAGGGAGAGGGCAAGAACGAAGGAAACCGAAAGAGGGTAGACCATGTCGGTCACCCATGAGGCCTTCTTCCTTTCTCGGCCTTGCTCGATGGCGATGTCACTCTGCCCCGAGGGGTGGATAACTCCTGAATTGGGTGTACAAATTTCAAAAATTGAATTTGAATTAGCTTGAATTGGCTTGAATTGAATTTGAATTGGACTGAATTGGTTGAATTGTTTTTGAATTGGTTTGAATTATTGCGATTTTATTCTACTGAATTAGCGTGAATTGACTTGAATTGACTCGAATTGAATGTAAATTGGCTTGAATTCGACTGAATTAGTTGAATTAATTTTGAATTAGATTGAATTGGCCTGAATTAGTTTGAATTGGGCAGAATTAGAGGTGTACATTTGGCAGGGGAGTTATCCACCCCTCGCTCTGCCCTCCTCCCTCGGTCTGCCCGGTGGTCGGGGCGCCCAGCCTGCCTCTCGCCAGGTCGTGTCGATTCATCGATATCTCGCAATGTATTAGAGAGAGGGGAACCGAAAATAACCGTGGCAGAGGGAACCGGTCCGGCGGCGGCGCGCGGCTTATCCGCTCCCGGCGCCCGGGTGGAAATATTATTATAACGACGACTGGCTTGCTCGCTTTAACCGACTTTTCTTTTCCCGTGCTTATCTCAGGTGGCGATGGGGACGGGACCTGCTGCAGCTACCGTGCGCGTCGCGCCGCTCACCGCCCACCGCCTCCGCTCTCGCTGTCGAGACTGTCAGATTATGTTCACGTGAGAAGACACAACATGCGCATGCGCTTGTGAGCAGCGCTCGGCCGCTCGCGTCGTCTGCTGCTCGGCTGTCTGCGCTCGGGGCGTGAGAAGACCATTGTGGTGGGCGCCCTGCACGGGAGGAGGAGGAGGACCACGACGTGGAGCTAGGACGAGGATGGAGAGGAGAAGTGCACGACGACATGGCACCGCCACCGGCGAACACCAGGTGAGCACAACAAACGTGTTTAAGGGCATATTAGCAACCGGGTGGCGGTGCGAGCACGGGCGGTGGGGTGGGGGATGAGGCCACATTGTGGTCGTGACCGGGGGATCCAGATTGGGGCGATCAGGAAGCCGTGTGCACGGCACATGTGCGCTGCTGCAGGCGGAGAGCAGTACAAGACGCCGCCGGTGCGGGCTCCACTGGTGTGTGGTCCCGGCCGCGTCCTGTTGTCTGCTGCTGCCAGTCGGACAGGCGGGCGGACGGGCGGTCACGCTCGGCGGGCTCGCGCCTGGGCGGCTCTGGAGTGGGTGGAAATGGAAGGTAACTGGTTCACGACCTGGCGCATGCAAGGCGCGACCGGCCCGACACCACCGCCGCGGCTATTAGCTAATGTGTTGGCAGATGCACCACCAGGCCCGGCCCCGCCCCACCGCACCACACCCCGCCCTCCAAGGGAAGCCCGATAGGTTACATAATGGCCAGCAGCCAGTGCACGGAGCGCGGGCTTGGCTGGCCGGGCGTTCCGTGTGTCACCCACTCCGGGGAGGAAGTAGCGAGTGCTCGCCGAGCAGGAGGAGGAGAGGCAAGGCCTGCAAGTAGGCCGGCACGATGCCCGTCGTCGGCAGCCTATCACTCTCGCCCGCTGGCGGCCCCGTTTGCCTAAACCACGCCGCTCGCAGCCGTGTAGTAAAATACATCCGAAGATTTTTCGAAAATCTGAGCCGCGTGACACTGCAACCCTTGGGAATCGTCCAGGAACCCAGCCTGCCCCGCCATTGTCCGTTACGAACTTCTGTGCCAATTTCAGCCAATGCAAGCTCTCATAGCGCCTGGTGGGTAGGCAATATCTTGCCTGCAGTGCATGCGTGTACTGCGGGGTGGCCGACCCTGAGTCTCGCAGGCGCCAAGCTCCCGGAATTCACCGACGGACGTACACTTCCTAGACAAAACCTTATCGTGTCAAGCGCGGCAGCGAAAGGAGAGCATCTCGTCAAATGTCTTGGTTGCTGCAATAACAACAATAAGTTGAGTTGTGTGTCGCGCGACTTTTTGCAAAAGTGTCGAGCACCGCAACCGCGCACATCAACAGAGTACCGGTCCGCGGACGTGGAGCGGAGGGGGACAGCGATCGGGGGCCGTGTGTCCAGTGGCACAGCAGGGGAAGGGCTATCGGTTTCTGTCGTAACAAATGTGCCGCGTATGGATTGCAGGCGGAGGAGGAAAGTAGGAGGGGGGGGGAGAAGGAGAGGAGGAGGAAGGGGGAGAGGAAGAGGAACACTCGCGTCTAGCAGTCGATTGAATCAACGTCGTCGGAGAGACACAGAGGGAAAGAGAGGGAGTGAGAGAGAGATCGCGCGAAACATGGGCCGGCATGCAGGACACGCGTCGCGAGCGATCACATATACGCCGCCGCGCCGCGGTAAGGAGCAGCGGGAGGAGAGAAGCAGGGCGACATGGACACCGTGAAAGTGGTATGCGCTTGCGCGCGTGCGCCCGGGATCTGCTTGGCGCCGTCCGCGCCGACGGCCAGAGACGTTATTGCGAGGGGCGCTAATTCGCCGAAATGAGTCCCTCGGAAATGCAGAGCCAGGTGAGATGGAAAAGGGGAAGGGGGGGGGGGGGGGGTGGAACCCCAATTTCACC